TTCACCATTTCTGACAGATGGACTCTTTGAAGAAGAATATTAATGACCACTGGGAGATGACACTAGCCATTTAGGGAAACACTCAATAAATAAGCAATTGATACTTTGCACAGAGATTTCCTACATGTATAAATGCTTGGAACCCAAACGAAGCTTTTCTTGAGGACTATGATCATTTTTTAAAGAAGATAATAAAACTTAATCTGTATAATTCCCGGATAAATAAAATAGCCCACTACCACGCCAGAATTGTTTTTTTGGTTTTTTTTTGGAGAGGTTTTGCTATAGGGCGTGTGGGCTCTCCATAAAGACAGGAGATAGAAAGTGAGAAATCACTCCCCAGGGGGGATGGCCATGCTGTAATCTCTTCTCCTTCATTCTCCTCTTGGGATTTTGGGCACGCACGCACACATGCCCAGTGTGAGTTTAAGTCACCAGGTCTGGGACTTGAACCACAATCGACCACATAGGAGTCCAGTGACATAGCCATTATGCCAACTGCTGGTCCCATCATAGTCTTTTTTAAGATCTCCGCTACTTTATATTTTTCCATGGATTCTGGAATTATATAACTTAGAAGTTTTCTGGTTTAAAAATACATGTTTTGGGGGGCAGCAAGTGGTGTGGTATTTAAGGTGCTGGACTTCCACATAGTAGACTATGGTTCAAGTCTCAGACCTACTGATTTACTTTCTAACTTTCCCTCTCTCTCTTTTTCTGCCTCTGGTGGGCACATGTGCCCTACAGCAGATTAAAATAATAATAATAAATACAATTTAAATATATTTTTAAAAATACTTGCTTTCTGGGACCAGCAGTTGGCATAATGGCTATGTTGCTGGACTCCCATGTAGCCGACTGCAGTTTGAGTCCTGGATCCAGTGGCTTAAACTCACACTGGGTATGTGTGAGTGCATGCGCAAGATCCTAAGAAGAGAATGGAGGAAAAGGGATTGCGGCGTGGCCATCCTCCCTGGGGGGTGATTTCTTGCTTTCTGTCTTCTCCGTCTTTCTGCTGAGTACACGCACCTTGTAAATGAAATCTTGGATCAAGAAGTCGTAGGTGGCATCTCCGTGGGTACTTCATCTCCGGCAGTACCGCTAAAGCCCCTCACTATCCATAGCAGCTACCAAAGACCTAGAAGTTACCTCTTGGGCACAGGCACAATCACTCCTGTGCTTAAGAGGCTCACTCAACACATATATGAACTAAGGAGAAGAAGGATAGCAAACACATGGGATCTTCAAAAAATTCATGGGAAATGTGTAATATAAAAAAAAAAAACCTATGCATGAGTTGCAAAAAAATTTGCACCAAAATAAACTCATACTTTAATTCCATTTTTCTGCAAACTTTTTGAAGTCCTTCTCTACTTGCAAAGATAATCTCTTTATTTTTTGAAATAAACACATCCTGCCTTATCTTACATTTTAACCTTCCCTAATTTTATGGCTATTAACATGAAACACTTAGGTATAGGCCTAAGATTATTCTGAGTAGAATAAAATTGGAGCTAGAATACAGTGTCTGTGTTACTAAAGCCTCTTGTACATGACACTATCACTGACAATCTGCTTTACAAATGAGTCACAGTTTTGCTCAATACTGATGACTGAAGGGATTCCCTTCTGGATACTTAAGAAGCCTCGTATTTTCTCTTATAAGTTGCCATTAGAACAAACAATCCAAATCTCCATTCAAAGGGGTTTTTCTTGAATCTTGTACATGATTCTTGCAGTCATCTGTAAAGAATAACAAGTTTTCCCCAAAGGAATAACTAGGATTATCCCTGCATACGTCAGGAGGAAATCCCCGAAAAAAATGTGCCTTCAACAGTGTGAAATATGTCAAAAATGTTAAGGGTGTAGGGTGTGTCCACTTTGCTGTTTTGGATACGGACAACACACACGCATTACACAAGGTTAAATGAACGATTCAGACTTTCATTGGGGAAAATGAGCTATTTTAAAGGATGTAAAGATAAAGTACTTGGTTCAAGGGGAATTCCAGTGAAGTAAATTTTGTGAAAACAAATGATGAGCTTAAATAAAAGCCCATGGTTAAATGCAATACAAAAAAAAAAAAAAGAAAGAAAGAAAGAGAGAAAAACAACAACTGTGGAACTGTGGAATTCTGGAGTATATCATAGCACAATTTCCATAAAATGAGGACTCTAGATAATTCTGATGATTCTAGTACATTCAGGTCTGGTCATTTAAAGACAGGGCATATTTAAAGACATGTTTGATGAGCATTTAAATGTCGTTTGAGGAATTAAGTTCTCAATGAAGATTAAGAAAATGTATAATTTGGCAGGATATTAACTAACAGAGAAGTATAAAGCAAAAACAAAAGAAAAGAAAACACAAGGAATCACCTAAGGTGGCCCACAGATGGATGTGAATAGGAATGATGACTGGAAAGTATGAAAGGAAAATTGAAGACTACACACGTAAAACGTTTCCTGACAGTCGAACCTTCTTCAGTCTCCAGGGAACCAATGGAAAATCCATCAGTTAGGTAAATAGTATTAGTCAGAATACTAACTGAGCTTTGTAGTTCCCCTTTTCAACTTTGCACTTTGGGAAAAAATGTGTGCTGCACCCAACAGCAAGTTCTTCAGATTTTGATGTATTTTATTTTTAAATTCCTCCTTCATTAACAGTCAGTGACAGCCCAGAGGAACTAGGATCACTACCGGTAACCAATGTGTAAATGAACAGTACTCAGTTCTAACTCCAGGTATAAGTGGTTATATTAATCCACTTTATTCTCCCAGAAAAGAAAGGATATTAATGGTTAATCAGTGGTTTCTAAATAATTTCTAAAATACCATTGAGGTTACAATTTCTATGGAAAAAGTCAAAATTCATATATGTAATTGTTTCAATTCTCTAGAATGTATGGGTGAAATACAGTGGTTTCACATTTTCATAATTAATATAGGAACTATGGTATCTAATTCATATATGTATATGTGTGTGTGTGTGTGTGTGTGTGTGTGTGTGTGTGTGTATAGATATATATATAAAATTAGAAAGTTTTGCTATAGGGCATGATGTGCTCACCAGAGACACAGAGACAAAAGGACAGAAAGTGAGAAATCACCTCCCAGGGGAGATGGCCATGCCTCAGTCTCCCTTCTCTATTCTCCTCTTGGGATTTGGGGCACATATATGCGCGTATACACCTAGCATGCGTTTTAAGCTGCCAGGTTCAGGACTTGAACCGCAGTCAACCATGTAGGAATCCAGCAAAGTAACTATTACACCATCTGCTGGTCCATCTAATTCAGGTATTAGAGGCTTAGATCTTTATAGGTGAAGTGATATTTTCTTCATGATTAAGAAAGTTCACTTTAAATGTGTTTGGGAATTAAATGATGTAACCAACTTTTTTTTATAAAGAATTATATTTAACTTTATTTATTTACTTATTTTCATTTGACCAGAGAAGGACACAGAGAGAGAGAGAAAAAGAGAGATTGAAAGTGAGAAAGCAAACTGCCATGTCTGAGACTCAAAGCACGGTTAGCCATGTGAGATTCCAGTGCTCTTAACCACCATGCCACCTGCCGGCCCCCCAACTGTTTATATTAATATCATCATTTTTCAAAGTCATCTCTCTTTAGCACAAATAAAACGTCAAGTTAATATTATTATTAACACTGATAATACAAATATGTTTTTATTGATTGATGTTTGCTCTAGAGTGTATATGCTTGCCAGATGGAGAAAGAAGTATGAAAGCACCCCTCAAGGGGCCAGCAGGTGGTGTGGTGAAGGCACTGGACTCACACATGGCCAACTGCAGTTCAAGTCCCAGACGGGGAGGCTTATATTCTCATTTCCTTTCTCTCTCTCTGGCCAAATTAAATACTACTACTAATAATAATAACAAATAAAATTAAACAAATAAAGAATTCTTCAAAAAAATGTTTAAAATCATACCTCAGAAGGGATGACCATGCTGCAATCCCTTCTGTTTCATTCTCTTATCAGAATTTTAGGCCATACACACACAAACACATGCCTGGCGATGTGGAATCCAGCCAGCCACCTTAACCACTACGCCACCAGCAGGCCCAACACTATGAGTATTAATAATCATCGATGGCTTGATATTAAATCTCTCTGCTTATTCTGTAGCCACAGCGGTCTCTGTCACAGATTACATAATTTCTACTGAGCAACACCTCATAAGGCTATGGTAAATGATTCCTTACCTCTGCTAACACTCATATGGGCCTGATAGAAGACATATGTCCCCAGTGCGTGACATTGTCATTCAAACTTCTTTCCCCTTGTATGGGCTGGAGCAGTAGTCTAACTACTTTCCATTAATATTTTCAGTGCTCTTTCTCCCCCTTGAAAAGAAGCAAAATACTTAAGGGACACAAAAATGGAGAACTATCTGTTGGTGGTAACATGCATGATAAGACCTTTAACTGGACTAAGATAGAGTGTATTCATGCTAGGAAAATTCACTTCACAAGCTGGAATGATATACGGTGGTTTAATAAATAAATAAATAAATAAACTAAAAGAAAAAAATGCCAATGCCTCGTGTAGATTTGGAGCTCCTACTAATGAAACCTTCACAATCTCTCCTTGAATAACTATTGTACATATCCAGTGTGGTTCAGCTGTCACATACATATTTATTTTTTTGATAAGTGAAGATTTTGTATATTATGCTTTCTTTCTTTATAAAAAGAAAGTTTATTGTGTATAATTAAAGTATACAACCTGATGTTATGACTTACATTGAGAAAGTAAAAAAAGATGACTATAGTTAGTAAATTAACATACTCCTTGCGTGCACTTTTCATTTACATGACAGTTACTTTCATGGCTAACATAATCTGAGGGAACAGAAGAGAAAAAGAGCTCCTCAGAATAATTTTTCCTTACTTCTCCTTTTCTTGTGAACATTCTTTATTTTCCCAGCCAAAATGATTTTCTGTATAAATTTTCTTGATATTTTATTCATCCCTCAGGACACGCAAGCCACTATTTATTCCCATACCAAATCTTTTTCTTTTCTCTTGCGGTTTGCAGCAAGCTGGTGGTCCCCTTCCTTGATCTCAAGGTGAATTTCCTTTCTTCTGTTTGTGGTACTAGACTTCATTCCTGCCTTTCTTGGTTTCCTTTTTCTCCTGGGAGTGGATGAAGCATTGTGACAAGCATATGAACATACACACACACACACACACACACACACAGAACATGGTGCCTATGAATGAGAGAGGGAGGGAAGAAACAGGCCAAGTTCTACAATCCTAGTCTCCTGCTTAGGATAGAGAGCTTACATTTCAGTTTCCAGTCTTTACCCCTCCTCCTTCCATCACACAGGATGATAGAGTGACCTTAGCAAACATGAGTGCCCATTTGCCAAGAACCCCCTGGGGAGAGACTGTGCTGGCTTATGGAATGCAGGGTAAGTGACCTGAAGCAAAATAAGTCTCATCTCACTGTGAATTAGAGTGTTGTGATGTGAAAGAATAGACTAGAAATTGCTTATCTGACAGGTATATTGGGAAGGTCATGATGCATTTTTACATAGAAAAGTATGCCATGACTTTCCCGATGACCGAATAGGATGCATAGGGCGGGCTCTGTGGCCTGGCGGTTTAAGAAGCCAAAACCCGCCGGCCAACCCCATGGTGCAAGTCCCAGACCCAGCAGCTTGAGATACACATTGAGAGCATGTGTGTTCATAGCCAAACCCTCTACTAGATGGAGAAATGGAGCAGAGAGGATTGTCATGACCATTCCCGTGGAGAAGGGGAGGTCCTTTCTCCCTCTCCTTTTCTCTCTCTCTCTCTCTCTCTCTCTCTCTGTCTGTCTCTAGTGAGCATAGATGCCCTCTGGCAATTTTTTTTTAAAGGATCTATAAGAAAGTAAAACTGGTGAACAAGGGTTTAAGAAAATGGGGCATTGGGACCAGCAAATGGTGTAATGGTTATATTGCTGGACTCCCAGGTAGTCGACCATGGTTTGAGTCCCAGACCTGGGGCTTAAACCTCACGCCAGGCCCATGTGTGCACATAACTAAAATCCCAAGAGGAGAATGGAGGAGAAGGAATTGTGGCATGGCCATACCCTCAAGGGGTGATTTTTCACTTACTGTCCCTCTATCTCTCTGTTCTCGGCAAGTGCAAGCACCCTATAGCAAAAAATCTCTAAAGAGAGAGAGAAATAGAAAGAAAAAAGAGAATGGAGCATTACCTTTGTTAAATAACAAAAGTTGTAAAGGTAAGCAGCTGGTAGCATATGTTCAGTGGTTCTGCGATGTGACAACTGTAGTCTGATCCTCTCTTCCTTTCCCTTATGGTCAGAAGGTAGCTGTCACAGCTATGGAGCACATGACCTCTTAGAGCAGAAAGATGAGGGGGCCGAAGGAAGGCTTTGGTATACATCGGCTTACCTCTCAGTAGCCACACAATCACCTTCAATTCCAAAGGACATTGATAAAAATAAGTACTGTGTTGTGGGAAAATAAGTATTATGTTAGAAAAGTCATGATCATTTTTTTTTCTATGTAAAATGTATCATGACTTCTGACAACCCAATATTTCACTTTTTCAGACTCTGGGGTTGGTAAAGAAGAAAAGGTTGAGATTACATGCTAGGAGACTCAAGCAACACCATCTGCCACAAAAGGGATCTCCAACTCAAATTTACTCATTTACTTTTCTTTTTACTAGAATACCTAGGAAGGATGTCATACTTGTTGACTACCATGCATCTGATCAGCCTTCCAAATTCTAATATCATTGTCCACTTCTAAGCCAGAGGGTTCTTTTCTGCTTCATAGAATTTAGGCCTGATGTATGTTTTACCTTTAGATGGCTATTTAATCTTTAGATGATTCAGCCACCATACTTCCTACACTCCAGCTGTTACAGAGATTTTATATACATATACATATACATATACACACACACATATGTATACACATGTCTGTATGTATTCAGAATCCAAATGTTTGGTTGTAGACAAGAAAACTGAAAGAAAGAAAGAAAAAGAAATAAAGAAGTAAAAATTTCCCTCTTAAATCATCATGTTCATTCTTTCAATAGATTTTGTTCAGCATAGACAAACGACACTAATTACATCCTCAGGCTCATTTTTTTTTTTCCCTTCTGTAATTTCAGATGGTGCCTGCAAGCCTGAATATTCAGTTAAAAATTCTATTTGTCCTTGGGGTTTCCTCTTGCCTAAATTCTTCCTCTAGATCTGACTCTACCCACCCAGTCTTTGAATTTTCTCACAGAACTCTTTGCGTCCCTAGTTATTCACTGCTTGCTCTCTCTCTCCAAGAAAGGGCTTCCTCCTTTGGCCGCTGCGTAATCTTTCTCGGGACCACACAATGCGCCTTTTTGTGTAATGATGGTGGACAGATGTGATTTTTTTCCAATGGGTTCTATTTTGCTTGCTTATTTATGTATTCCTCAGACTACAGGCTTTAGTCTGGAACAAAATAAATCAGAACATTCATTTCTTCTCACTTACACTGAGGTGGATTTTTATCAATTTAAAATGATTTGTTAATTATACAAAGTTCTTAAATCCCTTCATTGAAAACCTAGACTATGCTAAGGAAGATTTAAAAAAAAATACAGAGTGCTTTTTAAAAAGGTTTTTGAAAGCAACGTTGCAGTACTATTTCATGATTGCTTATTTTTTCACAGAGCAGTGTCCATAATACTTATGCAACATGAGCAGAAATAAATGTCCACAACCTGTGCACCTAATATTTTTAAATATATCTCTCTCCCTAGAAATGGCAATTTTACATAACCGAGAATATTAGATCCATAAGTGAGCGTAGGACTTACCTAGCATTAACCCTTGTTTTACAGATAAGAATACAGAAGCCACAGAAGCTGAATAGCCCACTCGTTCACAGTTAGTGAATAGCAAAATTAGGACTGTAAACCAGGTTCCTAATCTAATTCAGGGTTCCTTTCACAATCACATGCTGTAACTGGGTCTGGTTCGTATGGTGAGGCCCAAACAACAGAAGTGAGCATTTTGCAGGGCCATACCAGGAACTACGTATCGGTAGTGGGCAAGGAACAGAAGGAGGGAGTAGAGATGAGACCAGAAAGTGGATCTGCTACACTTGGGATGATGAGATGTGCATATCCATTCTCCACATTCACTAACCTGGGATGACGAGATGTGCGTATTCATTCTCCACATTCACTAACTTGGATAAGGCAAGAGTGGCAAGGTAAAGGCTGCAGCTCCCAAAGGACAGATCTTCCTCTCAAGGGCAGATCTCCCACAACACTAAGAAGGTAGACAAGAATTTCCCGGGAGAGTTACTTATAGTTAGGATATTGTTCCACTCATTGCATTTCCTGGGACAGTTACTTGTAATTAGCACATTGTTTCACTCATTGACTGTTTAAAAGCACATTGATCAATTTACCTTCAGGTAATTTTAATGAAAAAGTATGGTGAGGGCTAAACGGTGACACAGCAGTAAAATACAATGCTCAGCAAGGCTGACCCACTTGGGAAGGCTCTAGGTCCATGTTTGGAGGCCTCCCTGAGTATATGATGGGCCTGCCTGCCCACAACACAGGGCTGGCTGAGGCTAGGGATGAATCAAGGCATTGGGACCCTGTTGGAGTGTGGTCTCTCTGTTTTCTCTCTTTCTCACTGTCTCTCTTCATTATGAAATGAATAAGCAGTTTTTATTTTTTTCAAAGTATGGTGGGATGAATTGGTAGTGAAGAAAATATCCCTAAGCAGCTTGAGCTGAAAAGCATCTTCAGAGGATTTAAGCTAGCAACATAGCTAATATCCCCTTTAGAAGCATGCTTATTCCAAAATAAAATTCTTTCTTAACTTCGTCTACTTCTTTTATTTTCTACTTTCTTATTCACTCACCCACACAGTCATTAGGTTTATATGCTAAACAACTTAATCATTGGCAATAATAACAATGAGTTGACTTTTTTGTGTATGATGGAGGCTTGAAGAGTATGAAATCCTTCTGAAGTGTTTGTAAATGCCCATTTTGCCTATTTGACATAAGTTATTATGTCTGTGTGCAGAGAAAGCAATTCCAATGTCTCATTATAGAAAAGAAATTAGTCTTACTTTCTTAAATTTTAAATCAATAAATGAAACACTCCTGAAAGAGTTGACCATGAAAGGATAGGATGCATTTAAGGCATAGCAGCTCAGCAAGGCCACATTTACCTTGAACCATGTGTCAATTTATGTAAAATCTATTTACAAATAGTACAATACTCAAATAAATCACAAAGTTAAAATAGTAACATTAACTCATACTGTTTTGTCTTGTTTTAGTTTGCTATAGAGCATGTACACTTGCCAGAGAAAGAGAGAAAGTGAGAAACATCCCCCACAAATGGCCACTCCACAATCCCTTCTCCTTCATTCTCCTCTCAGAATTTTGGGCACACACACAAATGTGCCCCACATGCTTCTGAAGCTACCAGACTGAGACTCGAATTGTGTAGTCAACCACTGGGATCCAATGACTTAACCTCCACGCTAACTGCTGACACCAACTAATACTTTCTTTTTATACTTCAGATCAATTTCCTTGCCATCTTAGGTCAAGAGAGCTTATCTGTTATGAATAGTATTATTTATGTATTATTAATCAATTAATTGTACAGTCACAGGGCTTGGCTTTCTTGTCTATCTGCCTAACTCCATTTTTACTCTTGGTGAGAAATAGGTTAAAGAGAAAGAGACTTTGTCTGCATAATATATGCACAAATGAAGACATAAACCATGTGAAATATGGTGAGTATCATCCTCAAAAGTAGTACCCAGGCTTGGATCACTCCCCTTTACCCTTCTCCTAGTTCCTGGGTATCTCTTAGGGGAGGAAAATGATGTTCTGCAGGTCTGCATATCCCTACAGAGCATCTTAACACTCCATGAGCTTCAGGGTGACATGTATAAAAAACAGATCTTTCTCTTATAAACACTGTTGTCTTGTTGCATAATTTAAAATTGTTATTACCTTTTTCTAATATGTTTATAGTCTATTCTACTAGATGTTGGTAGAAAAGAAAAAAATCATGTCTTACTGTAGAGTTCAGTTCTATAATTACCTTATATATAATTTAACCGAACAAATTCAACTATATACAGAATTACAAATATAATCCATAGTTATTGTTGGTTATTGTTTTCAACAAAACAATAGCGTGCCCTAAATAAAGACTATTAATATACCTCAAGCCACAAGCTGTGTGAAGCCAAATAACTATTTTTTATACATTCCCCAACTGATTCAATTGCCCAATCCATTCCTGTTTCTTTTCCCAAAACCACTTTCTCTATAGCCTAGAACTGTAAGATTACCTGACTTATCATTCCCAGGGATTTGGACAGAGTGCCAGTAGGAAGACTATCACCCCTGGAAGTAAATATCTATGTTAAAGAACTTCCCCCAAAGCAGATATGGCTGATAAGCTCACAGAAAAAAATAATGGCAAAGAAAAAAGAATTCAAAATAGCATAACTCACCCTGTGCCTGGTACCTCATAGGTACTCATGAAAAGAAAATACTCTCTTTAAACAAGAGAGCTAACCTGACCTGTCCACATTTAGCTATGACATAGGCAGACAAGAAGCGTATTATCAACAGAGAACAAATAATGTTGCCCAAAATGATACCCAAAGAGGGAAAGCTCTAGAGGGTATTGTGAGATTTTCCAAAATAAAATCTCAAATTAAATTAACCTAATCATTTTAAACAGTAGTTAAAAGGGAGGGGGGGGCAAAGGAAGGGAAAGTGTTGAGAGGGAAAAAGTAAAAAATCAAGCAAAAATAGTGTCCTCTGGGGAAAAGATTAGAACACCCATCAAAATATATTTTATTTTATAATAGAAGAGAAGATGATAAACATGTTCCATAATTGTTCACTATCATTCCATTATAGAGAAGTTAGTCAGCTTTTGGTTTATTTGCCAGGATATTCTAATCAAGGTTATTAATAGGGCCAGCACATTGGGGCAATAGTAAGCTGATGCCACATGGCAACCAAGGTTAAAATCCTTGGTCCTGTCAGCCAGGACATGCTAGGCACACACATGAGTGCCCAACATCCCACCAGGTGGACTGGAAGAAGAACATCATAGCATGACCAGACCCTGGGAAGGGTGCTCCTCTCTCTCTCTCTCTCTCTTTTTCTCTCTTGGTGCTCCTCTCTTGCTCTCTCTTTCTTGGTGCTTTTCTCTCTCTCTCTTTCTCACTCTCACTGGCATTGGCATCAAGGCATTGGGATCCTGTTGGGGGTGCTGTCTCTCTGCTTTTCTCACCCTACCATGAATAAAGGGGAAAAAATTCAAATGATTATTAGCACATGTTTTAATGCCTAAAACCTAAGAACTGATGTTATGCCAGAGAAATCAGGGTGTAGACAAAAGAAATGCAAGGAATTCAACCTCACCTTTTAAAGTTTTCATGAGAAACAATTTCATGAAGAAAACACTTGTATTAACATAAGAAGTTTATTTTAATTCAAGAGTGTGTGGGTAGTAGATCAAGCAATAAAAGGTAGCTAAGCACAGAATACAGGAGGAAACACCATAAATTCAAAAGAAGTTCAGGCACCGACTATGAGCTGACCTGTGGACCTAGCTGCTCTATTTTCTGTCAGATTCTACTCGGGCTCCCACTAAGTGAATATTGAGGATAGAATTACGGACTTAAAAAGAGTTAACCGCTTTTCAAATGCCCTTCTTTCTCCACCTCAGAATACGAATTATCACCACCCATCTCCTGCCTCCCCAAAAGTTTTTGTCAGTTTTAAGTACTGCTTTGGCGGCACAAATAATAGTGTCTTCAGTATTTTTTTCTTAGATCGCTTATTTACTTGGACAGAGTGTTAGATAGTCTCTTTATTATTTTTCACATCGTGGCTCTCCACTGTGTCTATTTTTCTGGTTTTACACCAGTGTTGTGGTATTATTTCTCCAAACAAAGGAAATGTGCCAAAGTCTAATTTGGACAGTGGTCTCTGCTAACCTCCTTCTTCGGCCCCTACCATTTCAGACTGTTCAGTTCTATTTTTTTTTACAAGGGAGTGGGAACTGGCCATGGATTTGGGGTAGCAGCTGACATTTTGGGTATTATGCCTGGCACTGTGCTGTTTTTTAATGCATTATCTTTTTTTTTTTCTTTTCTTTTGGTGAAACAATTCTGTGAGATATAAGCCACTATGACCCCCATTTTTAAGATGAGGAAACTGAAGCTTGGAGAGATGCATTCAACAGTGGATCATAGAGTGGGGATAGGAGCTCAAAGAGGCTAATTCTAAAAGCACGCCCTTTTAACCACTTCGATGTCGCTATAGTCTTTTAAGAAAATCTGTCTGAGTTGCCTTTGAAAACTGAGAAGAAAAAGAAATTATGAGCAGAGGACATATTTCCTCATTTGGCCATCCTCTCCCTACAATCCACTTGGAAAAGTTTCTTACTTATAATTTTATTAAAAAGTGTCTAATATACCAGCATCAATGCACTTTTCTTTTCTTTCTTTTTCTTTTTTTTTTTAGAGACAGAGATTTTTACTGAAGGGTGCATGTGCCAGAAAGACAGAGTGAGAGACAGAGAGACAGAAAGCGAGAAATCACCACCTGAGGGGATGGCCAGACCACAAATTCCTCCTCCTCCATTCTCCTCTCAGGATTTTGGGGCACCTACACACATGCCCAGTGTGAGTTTTAAGCCACCGGGTCTGGGACTCAAACTGCAGTCAATAAACTTGGAGTTTACCAATGTAATTATTATGCCATCTGCTGGTCCCAATGCACTTTTCTTAAATTCATTACAACACCTAGGAAAATATCCCTTTTTTTTTTTAGAGGTTTTTGCTATAGGGTGCGTGCACTCGCCAGACAGAGAGAGAGAGACAGAGAGATAGAAAGCGAGAAATCACCCCCCAGAGGGGATGGCCACGCCGCAATCCCTTCTCCTCCATTCTGCTCTCAAGATCTTGGGCATGCACGCACATGTGCCTGGCATGCGTTCAAGCCACCAGGTCTGGGATGCGAACCACAGTCCACTACGTGGGAGTCCAGCGACATAGCCATATGCTAACTGCTGGTCCCTTGGAAAATATCCCATTTTTAAAAAACAATTGTTATTAAAGACAACATTCATCTCGAAAAGTAATTTCTTTTTATGTCAATCAAGGTTGCAAGTTACCATACTGGGTTTTTTGAGGTAGCTATTAGATAGGAACCAGATAGGTGTGGTTTTCTTTTTTTTCTATAGTTTCTT